TTAATAGTACACTTCTATCTAGATAAAAATCTTAAAAAACTGCAAGTCTAGCATTTCTGACAAAAACAAATTTTATAAAAACATTTTGATGAATAACAGAATATAAGAGAATCATACATTTTAAAAAGCCCTGAAAGGGTGAAAGATTATGGAGAATTACCACTCCCTTCATTCATTCTTCCAGGACACCCCAAAATGTATTCATGATATGCAGTCATTCATAAGTCATAAACATTTAGATTTCAAAAGGGCAACATTTCATTAAGTTTTATTAACTTAGCTATTTGTATAAGGAGGTTTAGGAACACAAGATAAAAAGTTCTCCCCAAACTAAACTATATATATATATATATGAATGGATCTCTGTGACGTTTACTTCTCCCACAGTACATATTTTCAAATGTTGTACTCCACAAGTTTCCGGAGTTCACATACCTAAACCTTTGTTGTACTTTTGTATTCCCCACATAATGAGTCTTCCCCACGAAGTATGACTTTTTTTACTATGTAAAGGGGAAAAGCTCTGGTATATATTAGTGCTGGGTATTGCGACTGGAGTCACGATACGGTTTTATATCACAATATTCATATGGATCAAAATAAAGACCTAAACAATTTAAATCGTTTGTTTAACTATGGATAATGTGTGACATGGATAATTAAGAGTGGCAAGGCTAGTTACTGAAGCAACAAAAAACAAAAAAGAATCATAAAAAATCGATACAGTGTGTCACGATTCAATACGCGAATCGTGAGTCAGTGAATCGCAATACATCGATTCAGTGATACATCATGCCAGCACTAGTATATATATAATGACATTTTCAATTCCACAGATCAAGGGGAAGTCAAAATTGATTTAAACATTTAAAATAGTCTTTGTTTTACCTAATTTAGTAAAGTATTATTCCTCTTTAAAAACAACCAAATTATAGTTTATACATCATTGGCAATAATCTCCATGCTTTTCTGTTACACTTAAAAACATTGTGTAGAGAATGGGGGAGTTATGGTATCTAGTTTACACCTACTTCTCCTAAATTTGAATAAATTCCTTTTTTTGAAACAACACTGAGGCTGATGTCCCCTGCCGAAATCCCAAAATAAACAGATGACACATATTAATTAATTGAGCATTTAACTTTTTCAAGAGTATCGAGTAATCAAACTGATTATCTATGCTTAGTCTAAGCATAAAATGTTCACTATCAAACTTGTTTACTATCAAACTCAGGTTTTGAAGTACCTGGTAGTGAGTGAAACTATACAATAAGTTTTATCACTCTCCATCAGTTAGAATCCAAGTTATCTTGTCCCAAGGCATCGACCAAAGACATTGCTCACCTTTGCTTAGTTTTGATGGGAAATATTAATCATTGAACTCAGTCAAGACATTCACCTAATGAACATCTATACCTCAGTTAAAAAAAAGTTGTTATGTTCCAAAGTCTTGACAAATCAAATCGCTTATCGCTACTTGGCCTAAGCAGAAAATTCTCACCATCGAACTTAGTCAATGTATTAATATAATGAATCTATACTCAGAGTTTCATCGCTCTCACCCAATTAGAACCGAAGTTATCATGTTCCAAAGTCTCAACCAATCAAATTGCTTATCTCTGCTTCGCCTTAGTGGAAAATGCGCACAAACAAACTATGTCAAGGCATTCATGTAATAGACACCTACACCAATTTTGAACATTCTACCCCAATTAGAAGTAGAGGGGGTTTACCACGCACTCGACAATAACAAGGTCATTTCAGGACTAACATATGGTTCAATTTATTTCAATCAATCGTTTGTGTGTAGGGGTCTTTAGCAGGAATTAGAGAAAAGCCACGAAGTTGGACAGGCAACTCTACTCCTTGTCACGTACAAGTGGGGATTCGAAACAACACCATTTGACTCAATGACAGACATTATGAAGCAACGCACGCACGTTAACCATTCTGCCAGCCAACCCCCTTTTTTAAACAAACACTGAAAATAATACATTTGGGTGTTTTAAAAATACAGGGACAGCTTGCAACAAGTTTATTATAAACAGAGTATGATAGTTAACGAATCTGATAAATTAGCATACTGTATTCATGGTCTGGAAGAAAAGAAACTGAAGTAATATAAGAATTGGACAAGAGTAAGCTAAAATCAATTATAAGTTCACAAGTAAACACAAAAATAGGTTAAAGAAGTCTGATTAAGATGTTTTATAATCTACATGAATTAAAAACTACTCTACTGGCCAAGACAAAAGTTAAAGATAGGATATTTGGGCATCAGAATCCCACTGTAAAACATGTAGGTCTACTGGGTAATATAACTACATTACAGATCTTATAATTTCTCTTTCTCATAAACTAGATTAATCCTCTTGTAGCATATCTCCTTAATATACCAATCATAAATCGTAAAATGAACAACATGGAAACATGGTTAATTAACAGAATTAAAATCTCAGTTAAATCAGCATTAAGGATAATAACACCAGTACACTGACATTTATAGTCCATGTGAAGCCAGAAATTACTGGTCTGTTGACTGTTATAGTCGAGTTAAACAGTATTTATAAGTAGAAAATAAATAAAACAAAAACCACTTCTTTTACTTTTACTAGTCACATTTTATAACATTTTCTTTTACTTATCTTCAAAATATATAGACAGTTGAGCTAGATAACATGATAACATAGAATGGCAATGTGGGAGGCATCGACCCCTTAAAGCAGTGGTTTTCAACCTTTTTTTACGAACGGCACACCATGTAACACATGAAAAAATAGCGGCACACCTGGCTAAATATATATGAGAAATATTTGAATTTTACAAAATAAAAACCTGGTAAGTCAGACGGCATACAACCGTAGACAGAGACTAGTCATAGAGACACATAGAATGACTCAAACTACATAAAGAAAAACATAGCTTTCAGTAGAACCAGTAAATACTCAATTGGGATCACATGGTTTTTCCCATTTTCTTAGTGTGCCGTTCAAAAATTCCGCGGCACACTTAGGAAGATCTCGGGGCACACTTGTGTGCCGCGGCACACTGGTTGAGAATCACTGCTTAAAGTAGCTAAGTCTCTAACTCAATATCATCCAAAATCTTCGACATTGAAAACACGAATTATTTGTCAATTTAAAACAACATTGATGCTGTGATCTTACCGGAAAAAGATGGGCTTCTGATATCCAATATTTAAGACAAAATAAATATTTTACCATTGGTACACGAATCGTGTACCATAATGCGTTTCAGCCCCAGTTCTAGTAAGAGACTCGAGGAACGAGTCTAGACATATTGCACCAAACCAACTGGAATAACCAGATGCTAGGAATTTGAATTCGATTGAGACTTCTGGCTTATTTCACGGAACATAACTGATTTGAAATAAGAGTAAAAACGGAAACGATTGAATGTAAATCACTTTATATACATTCATATTACAGTATTATATGAGTTGGGACCCACTTGTGTCAATTTCTAGGTCGCAAATGTTAGCGATTTAGCTCCTTTAAAGTGAGACAATATTTATTTATCAACATTTTAAAATCAGTCTTTAAATACGTCTTTGATCTGGACCAAAAATAAAACTGATTCAGATTTGTTTTGTGGGGTTTACATCTGTCTTGATATGAAATTCTACTTCCATAGATAAAGCCAATGATGGGATATAATCAATTGGTGTTCCTATGTCAACACAGTCAAAGTTGGTAATCTTTCCTTTCTAAACAAACATTTAATCTTTTGACCTTATCCATCACTGATTTAAATAACAAATCAATTAAAAGAAATTATTTTTTAGCTTTTTCAATTTATAATACATACAAAACAATATAGGGAGAGGGAGGGGGAGGAGGTAAGTTTCTCAACAAGTGATTTATTTCTCAAAAGCATAGCTTAATCAAAATAGAGTATAGAAAACATGACCATTAAAAAATTGTATGAAAATCTATAGAAAGCTAAGAAAATTTTACAGGTCTACTTTAGTGAAAAGGTCTTTCAATAATTTTCACTTAAGAGATAGGAAGTACCACCCTATATAAAATTAACTACATGTTCCTAGTTTAAACTATTATTGTACCTAAAGAAAAATGTCCAGCCCTCCTCTTCATCTTACAAATTGTAAAAGGTTTTAATAATACAATTTATATTAACACACTTGTAATGTAAAGTTTGTGTATTTCACAAAGTCACAATTGATGAAGATGGAAATTCCCCCAGGCAATAAAGAGCTTGAAGTTGAAACAGCCATGTGCTGTAAATTAAAATTAAACATCACGTTGTATTGACTACATCAATGTAAGAAGAAACCCTGCCAGGATATATATATTTTTAAAATATATTAATTCCCCACTAAATTATTTAATTAAAAACAAATTTGAAGTTGAGATTGCATCATATTAGAGAACTTTTAAAAATTGTTTTGGTAAATGCATAACTATTAGTGTAATTATCCACGTGTGCTGTAAATCTAATAATTTATACGTTATGCTGAACCTAAGGTTGAAATAAATATAAATATCATGCACGAATTTGCATATATCAAAGAAACACATACTTGCACTTTGTGACATTCGTAAATTACATGCCCATGTTGTCCATCGCCATGATGTACCACGTAATAAAATATGAAGTAGTGACAAAAATGGATGAACAATAAATGTAAGTGTTTTGATAGACAACACCCACATTGAGTAAGAAACGAAACTCTATTGATATTGTGGTTATCAATATTCTGAAATATCTTGTAAAGTGTACTGAAGATGGGCAGAACTATTTTTGGTTGAATAATGTAAAACCCGTATTTTGAGGTACAGACGGCTCATCACCATTCGGTGATTATAATTTGCCTGACAATGAACAAGGTTTTGGAATGTAAGATATCATAAACGATATAATAAAAACAAGACATAAATATAATAAACCCTAGGGTATACTGAAAATAACCTGCTATAATAATCATTTATTTATTCAAAGGAATCATTTAGTTTGCTTACCTGCCGGGCAGTGACACTCGGTGGCGCGTTTTTTAATTCTTCGTGTGTCGTCTTGGCGCCATGCCTCCTGCTGAAATCTTGACACGCGCTGAAACGAAAGGACAGTCTCATACGATAAAGAGAAACATACATTTTTCGGTTATATAGTAGTACCAATAAATTTTACTGAAAATACTCCTTTTATTGATGGCACCTTTTGAATTTTACCACGATGCCAAAACAATGTTTAATTTTTAAGACAAACAACTTCTTTCGAATCGAGAAATGCTGGTTGGAAAATGTTTGATATAGCCTGCCAGTTAGAAGGGCCTCTATTCCTTCTAACATTGCAGAAAGATTTCATCAAACTCACATTTGGACTTATATTATACTGAGACAAACGGTTATAAAACGCTTTGGGAAGAAGACTCCGCATGCTATCCAAAAGGGGGCAATCAATATTGTTATTAACTAGGGAATAACTCATTGTAAATGTAATCAGGAATTAGTTTTTAACCCATTCATATCTTATTACTTTTTACAAAATAATTCCATAAAAGCTGTCAAATTTCGAAACAGTGTGTTATGATTGTATACAGACTATAACAATCCCGAAAAAATAACTTTGCCTTACCTCTTGGAGTAAAGTCTCCAATTTTGAGTCAATATAACGTTCCATATCCAATTTAGAAAGTGAATTCGAACACTCTTTTTCCAATGTCCCTACTCGCGACTCTAAAGAAACTATAGCATCCTGATATGATATTATGGTCCAGACAACAAATGGAATAAGTAAAATGAGCAAAGAAATTCCAAGACATACGAAAATCCACAATATTATCCAAGCACACGGACTTCGAGGTTTTCGCCCCTCGTTAGTCCCGATTTTCTCCATGATGGAGAAAGGTAAAAAAAAAGGTCACTTCTTTCAAATTTCTATCCAGATACGGGTCCAACCCTCGAAGTGATTAAAGGTAAAGCACACGACTGTTCTACCATCGGTAGTGATAACTTCGCTACACGTTATAACGTTCGTCGTATTGTATATGAAATGGATTCAGCCACTCAGCTACACAAGCACAGCCTATGGACTGTTCCACGGTGACTTAAAGGGGTTATTCGGCGATCAAAAGCGGTAGCAAAGAAACACCGGATTATATTTTAGACACTATAAGATCTATTTTAATAAATGATAATCCACAGTTGTCAACTGTAAGAACATGTTGAAGTTTTAATTCTAGGGCAGTATTCATTTTTTGACTAGGCCTATATGCTATCTAAATACACACAATAGATTTCCTACACGCGATAATGTACCTGTATGAGCTGTACATGTACATTCTATGTTAAATGTGAAATATTCCAACAATTTAAAAAGTATAAGAAATACTTTCTTATTATGTGGACTCGTTTTATTTTAATTTAATCTGGTTGTTTGGCGGTGAAAAATTACTAGACGCAGGGTCACAGTCTTTGCTTTTAGGATTTTATCATTATCACAACATGTAACTATATTAAATAGCTTGAACGTGTAGATTCACGGATATATATATAGGTGGGGTGGGGATTTGTTGGTTACTTCTTTCCGATCATTTCGTCGCCAATCCGCCAGGTTCTTGTTCTAGTTACCTCACATTTTCGTCGATGAAAATTCGCCAATTAGTTTAATGCTCTTGCAAGGCACACGTTAAAACGTGCACTATCCGATGCCAAGATTCTTGTTATTATATAATTATAAGCATATTGGGTTTGCGTGTACCAAAAAGATATAATTTGTATTACCTTATTATCTAAGACACATAAAATGACGGTGTAAAATCAATAGAAAACAATGCAAACTTTAACTGATCTTTACCTAATCGAGTTCAATTCAGTTTGGAGAGAGAGAGAAATGGGGTTTAACGTCCACTCGACACAGACTAGGTCATTTCGGGGCTAAATAATTCGCTTGCGCGTAGGCGTCTTTAGCAGTGGGAGGAAACCGGAGGACCCGGAGAAAACCCACGAGGTTGGATAGGCAACCCTACTCTTTGTAACGCACAACCGGGGCTTCGAAACCACGCCAGTTGACTCATTGACAGGCTTTATGATACAGCGCGCACCTGCTAACCATTCGGCCATCCAACCCCACAATTCAGTTTGGTCCAAAATGTTTTAGCAAAAGTACTCTTTTTTGTTGTGTATGGTGTTTATATCTATATTTAGTCTGACACGTTGATATGGTGTTTATATATGGTGTTGTGTATGGTGTTTATATCTATATTTAGTCTGACACGTTGATTTTAGAAATATAGGCGTTGGGATAGACTAAAACGGCAATTTCGTGTCTAAATGCTGAAAATAGAAATTCAATTAAATTAATGGCACGACAGTACTAATGTATATTAAAATTGCAAATAAAAAAAATGTCAGAGAGGTTTCCGATCTTCATTCCCAGAGTTTGTATATTTTTTTTTATTCCTGTGTTTTCTCAAATTCACGATAGATACGACAACATCGTCAACCTGCTGGTTACGATGATTTTAATTGAAGCACATTCAGAATGATAATCTCGTGAAAATAGGCATTTTAAAGGCTTGATGCGCCATTGTCTTTGTTGCTAAAATATCCAATTTCTCACACCTTCATCCACATTAATATGTACTCAGATTGATTATTTAACATTTAATTAAGAAAACAAAATCAAATACCAATTTAAAAATTTAAAATCAGCCTTTCATTAAATTTCACAGACAAGATAATGGCGGCGGGCCTATTGCATTGCGATGAAATTTCAAATCCACGTATTTTTATAAATACTGAACGCAAATGAACTTTTTTTTTTGACTGACATTCCTATTAGAGATTCATCTTTCTCATGGCGCATCCGAACTCTAATAAACTCATGATTAATAAAGCAGACCTTACTGAAAATGGTCCTAATTTTAATATAAAAAAAATACATATTATGTATTATATAATATTCTGGCCTGTGTTTATGAGATTATGAGTGAGAAGGTGATTATATTTTCTATAGAATATGAAACTAGTCTGTTTCTACATGTTGTAACAATATAACTGTAAATAAAAAGCTTTGTAACGCATGCTTATCTTTCTTATCGAAAGTGTCATATTATATCTAACACATCACATATTATCACGGTTCTTAGCAAGATGGGCTCTAATGGTGTAAAGCTCGGAATTATGCAGAATTAATGCGGAATTTCGATTCTATTAGTAAAGGGGCACTATCATAGTCCAGAAGCTATAACTGACCAGCTAATGTGGTCATCAGTTAAAACGATTTGACCCCCCCCCCACCAAACCTGTAGTGAGCGTCCATACGCTTAAAATCAATTGGTTACAGTACCGGGCCCTTATTCACGAAAACTTAAACTAAGATACAATCGAAATTTTAAGAAATACTACAATTCGATTGGCTGACCAGTAAAATCAATTTGCATATATTCAATTTGCATATTGGTCAGCCAATCGAATTGCAGTATTTCTTAAAATTTCGATTGTATCTTAGTTTAAGTTTTCGTGAATAAGGGCCCTGTGCCGTACTGGGGCATATAGACACAACAGCACATAAAAGTCCCAAATCCCCATTGGGCTCGAATAATTCCATCAGTTGAATCTGTTCTAGAAACAACGGTGTCTATATAGCTTAAGTAATTTTTACATCGTAATGATGGTTGAGTTTGAATTTCGTGAAAATTGGACAAAAACTGACGGACAAAATGGCCTTCCCTCGTACGCTAATAGTGTAAAAATATGGTATATCAAGGTTGTGGACTCTCTAGAGGTCACAATCTTCACCCGATTTTGATGAAACTTGAAATACAGGTTTATAACCCACAGATCTTGGTTCCTTGCAATATTCGCGCATATCGGATCGTAACTTCCTGAATTATGACCCTTGATTGTACGAAAAATCACGTTTTTAGCTTGTGATCCCTCTAGAGGTCACAATTTTTTACCGATTTAAATAAAAATGTTTAAATATATCACCGTTACACCCTAATGATGGTTGAGTTCGAATTTCGTGAAAATCGAACCGAAACTGCCCGACAAAATGGCCGAACCTTGCACGCAAATTGTGTACAAGTATGTAATACGAATGTTGTGGACCCTATAGAGGTCACAATTTTTTTCCGACTTTGTTAAAATATATCTTTATATCCCAAAGATCACAGTCCCTTTCGATATTCGCGCATTTCAGCCATAACTTCTTGGATTATGGCCCCTGATTATAAGAAAAATCGTGGGTTTTTGTTTTAGCTTGTTCCCTATCCATCTCTTGCAAAATGTGGGCGTATCTTGCCTGTCAGCCGTTGGTTTATAATAATAATAATCCAGAATCAACAAATGTATCCCAGGTTAGGAAACCAAGCTTTTGAATTTGTCAACCAATGGCATTACCTACAAGGCACATGTGTCCAGGGGCTACCAATCTGAATTGCACTTGTAGTGTAAAGGGGGTAGGAATCGGGTAAGCTTATAGATGGACAGGACCTTAAATTGCCCCGAATTGCTAAAATTGAATTGAAAGAGTGCCACGAATTGAAAGAGTGCCAGTTGAATTAAATATAGGTCTAGAGAAAGTGTAGGGATATACTGTCTTGTGTACGACACAAAGTAACTAAAACATGGATAGCAGATGACGAACGAATATCGTTTTTGCATAATAACCCACCCCATCAGGTTTATGTTTCTTATATTAGGTATACGTGACATCTTTTATTTTAATTTCAAACTTACCTTAAATATAAAATTTTATATTAAGGTGCTTGGGGCAGATCGGAACTAAAGTTATATCGTGTGATTTTATTAATCTGAGGTTATGAGAAAGCACAAAAATCAAACGGTATCGTGTTGGAGAGCACCTGGGTTCGTTTGTATATTGGTATATTGTGTCTGGAAGGACAGATTATCCCCTTGAAATAGTATTAAATCACATTCGGTTATATTTCTTTATTTGCGTTGTATCAACGCAATACGTCCCCGTGGCAAGTCGTGTTATGTTTCAACCTAGGTGAGACATTTGTTGGGATTTGATGTTCCGCCCTAGAAAATTGATACAATGACAGTAAACATAAAGTACTCATCTCTTTACAGCTTTTACCGCGAGAAAATATTAAAGTCAGATTGTACCGGACCCCTGACAAGCTATACAAATTAATCTTGCTTGGAATTATATTTACCAATAGATTCAGCAATGTAGAACGACATACTATGCTACAATTCACTACACTTAAGTCAAATACGAAGGGTAATATAAACCTATGTACTGAATAAAGAAATTTCTGGATGGTAAATCTGTCCTTTGGGTTAAAAACGCGTGAGAAACGGGACACCAATGTTGTATGCATAAAAGAAATGAATGAACAAAGGCAAGATTTATACTTCATGTAAAATATTTTATAATATAGTATTCAGAGAAAGAAAAGACGCAGAAAATAGGATAAGAAAAATGAAGTTAGTCTATTTTTTGTGTTAAGTCCACATATAGAATAGCAATGATGCATGCAGTTTTTACCTAAATAACTGTATCAAGTTTATAGACAGTATTATACGTATTTAACAACAAAATACGTGTTGATATGTTCTGCCTCGTAAATGATAATTATTTACCTTTATGCCTTGGGGATCGTCTTGTTATAAGGAGAAAACAAGTACATGCAGGGCGGCTTAAATAACTTGTTCATGCATATATTTTTCTTTAAACACTGAGTGATTCTATACGTTAGAATATTATTTATCACAATTTATACAATCGGTGAAATATTAGGCATTAGACATAAATTCTCATTAAACTTCAATTTCGTCAGCCATGACCAAAATTTCGGTATGTTTGATGTGCGTTGGTATATGATTATGAAGTGAAATTTTGATATTTTACGCATCCCTGTCCCTAGAAACGGAAGTTCGCTTGCCAGAAGATAAGTATCAAGTATGTGTTATAGTTTAATACTTTCACCAGCAGCTGCAGTGGGAGTGGGGTGGGGAGCGGTAGGGCGGGCGGTACAAGTAGTTGGGGTTGCTCAAGGCGCAAAATAGTCTGGCACCGGTCC